CTCTTAATCTTAAAATCTAAAACTAATAAACGATGTTGGGTATTTAAATTTTCACTTGGAATGACTTTACAATCATTACAATCACGACGATCTCTTCTTCTCATAAGAAAATAATCAATTTGTGTTTTATTAGATCCACTCTTATAAGTAATAAGATGTTCATCCCTTTTCTTGAATAAAGTATTAGTAATAACAAAATCAAACGCTAAAGCAAAATCTAAAATAACTTTACCTTCTTCATTAGTTACTCCAAAACCGTAGCCACCATGAATATTTCTGAAATCTTCTACCACTCTACCGACATGTCCATTTAAATCTCCTCCAATAAAAATTCTTTCTTCAAGAGGTATCATTTGTATTAAGTCTTATAAGTCATTCCAAAATTATCTTTAGACTCTGTATCTAAACCTACTTGAGGAGCATAAACACTTATAATATTAAAAATCTTAGTATCAATGATAATCTTAAGGGCTATAATTCTATCACCAACTCTATTAATTTTTACAACATTATCTTTCAAACTCTTATCTATAATTACACCTACACCATTTCTAGTGCGACTCTTACCAGAATACCAAAGTTTAAAACCTAAATTATCAATCTCCTTAGCCTTTTCTCCCACCCACTTAGTTTCTTGAATACATAAGATATTAATTTTCCTATGAATCATAATATCAACTAATTCCATTAATTTACCATTGAGAGTGCCTATATTCCAAGATCCTATCCTAATATTAGTTTCATTAGTTTCATGGACTAACTTCTTTACCCGCATTCGCCCGCACTGTGGGAACCCTTGCTTATTTAACACTTCACCCGGGCGCCGGTGTAGCGGCCCTTGCACACTTTTCACTGTATTCAGGCTATACAGCGCGTCGCTTCCAGGGGACGCCCTAGCACTTATACAATGATCAAAAGGATTCATGTCATGATTTTTTCGACAAGTTTTACGCTGGCTGTCGACTACCTAACGCAACCTTCTACTTTTCTCATCCGGGCTTGGGACCGGCAACGGCAGTGTTAAAAACAAAAATATTTTAGTGTCTAAGAATGTTATGCAAAATTTATATATCTTTTATTTGCACTTTGTATTCTTTTATATTATTTTATTACCACCACTTGCTTTATCAAAGTTTGTAGTTGAGAGATTAGTCATGAGCTAAAGGTAAAATTCACTAAAAAAATATTATGTGAGGCTTGATTTAGAATTTTTGTGCATTGATTTTAAAAGCAATCTATTTACGTTATTGTACAGGCATTAATTTTTAAGAAAAACTTAGGAGCATCTTTTTAAAAGCTGTAAAAGATATGCTAATTCAAGAATCATGTATTGTTGAAGTTGATTCACTTGATGAAATAGTCGTAGTGTTATCAGGATTTATTAAATATAGATTGTGATCTGTGGCATCAATTTGATTATTTTTATTTTGCTGTGAATCTACTTCTACAATGAATAATGTTCATGATCGCTAGTCATAATTAGAGTTTAAAAGAAAAATTAAGCATGCAATCATATTTAGAACTTGAGTCCACTATAGAAATTGAATTTATACTAGGATGAAAAATGGAATCAATCATGTCTGTTGTGGTTTATGAATCAAATTATCAATAAAAAAAATATGCAATTTTAGATGAATTTTTTTCTGATATTATTTCTGCATTGAATGATCAAATTAATATTAGTTGTCTTCTAGTTCTTGGTTTAATGACATACAAATTTATATAAGTTCATGCGAGTTAAATATTTTCAATATTTCAGACAATTTATTAGTAGAATCACCTTAAGGTAACTTGAAGTATATAATTCAATCCATTCGGTCATGTACAAAATTTAATAATTTATCATAAGTAAACATTATGCCGTTTTGGTTAGTTTTCTTCAAAAGGTTTGTCTTTACATATATGTCTAACCACTATTTTTGCCTTTTTCTATCTTTCTAGGATTGTGCTGTTACTTTCTGGTTTGTTTGTTGCTGATTTAAGTGCATGGAAGGGTTGTTATGCAAAGTATGCATTATTATTTTTGATAAATTTTGTTACTTTTTTTTTTGGTATAATTTGTTATTTGCTTGCTCATTTTTATAATTTCTTCTATGTAGTTTGTTTTTGGTTTGTTATTGTCTAATTTTGTTTAAATTTGATGTAAAAGAAATTTTGGTCATGGTGATTAAATTATTAATTTTGCATGATTTGAACTTGTTGATTTATATAGATTTATTTAATCATTGCATTATTATTTGAGTTGTATTTTTAGTATTTACCGATTTGCATCTCAGGAAAGCAATTTTTTGTCTATTTAGCATACTGATCTGTGAATCCAATGTTTCTTGGCATGACTTACATTGCATTATTCTGGTTGCATCATGAAACCCATCAGTGATGTCTACAAGGCTACTTAAAACTTTTAAGTACTCTGTCCTGCTTTCTGTCCCATGACCATTTTTACATGGTACAGCGAAAACCTTTTTATGAGCTATTTTGGATTTTTTCCTCAAGATAAGATCTCGTCACCCTTTTTTTAGTTTTTCTTTTTGGGTTCCTGGCAGCCGACTTCCGTGCTTGTTTGACTAACTGGCCTGACCCAAGGTACCGTTTAGGCTATGTGATATGGGGCGAAGTGGCTATTTATGTAGATTGACTTTGTGTAGATGGATTTACAATTTGTATTTGTTTGAAAAGGTGGATACATTATGTAAAAGAGCTTATTGTCTTTTATGACCCAAGAAGCTGATTTTATAAATTTTACATTCTTCTAGATTTCTGATTCTAAACTGAAAAATATCATCCGCACTCCTCAACTTTAACATTGTTAGCAACTTTTTGGAATTGGGTATTATTAATTGTCACTGTTCATGGATTGCGTCGAGTACAACTTGATGTGTTATTTTTATTTTGATCAAGACATTTTGCACTTTAACCTGAAGGAATAATGGGGGCCAAAAAAAAAGTACAACTTGATGTGTTATTTTTATTTAGATCAAGACGTTTTGCACTTTAACCTTAAGGAATAATGGGAAAAAAAAACACCATCTCTGTTGCTCTTAAAGGATACTCAAGACAATGAGTTTTGCAACATATATAACCTTGCATCTATTTTATGGAATTCTATTTTTATTGCAAGCCCGGCTGAAATGGTCACTTTTTTTTGTAAATCACTTTGAATTATTTCTCTATTCCTCCAATTTACTTATCCCATAACTGTAGGATTTGTTTGTTTCCTTTGCATCTGTAAAGTAGGGCCATGCCATTGGGAGATGATAGTTGTTTGGTTAGTTGACATCTCTAAATATCAATGTTTGAAATAATTATGTCCAAATTCAATGAAATTTGATGTCACCCTAATCTGACGAAATGTTATGTTGCCGTATATCTTTACCACCAAAATTTCCAGCTATGAATTCTGTTCACTTTTTTTTGTTGTTGCCTCTTGCTTGCAATTTTTCCTGTATTCTCCATTGTTGAATGCATCATCCACACTCCTGGTATTCTACATACCTCATTTCATCAATTGTTATTGGGTCACCTACATTCATGGCGGTTCCCCTTCAATGCCCAACTCCATCGTTATTTGCAAGTTCATGTAGTAAATCCGAAGAAGTACATGAAGTAAAAGAGAAGGGTTTTTGATTGTTATGTCGAAATTTAAAGTGAAGCACGTGAGATGGGGAGAGAAGTACTTCATTATCATCAAGTCTCATCCCAACTATTGAGATGGGGAGAGAAGTACTTCATTATCATCAAGTCTTATCCCAACTATTGTTTAAAAGCTTGTTTAAGGTTTATGTCTCAAGGAATTGAGGCGAGGCTTAAGCCTCACAACCACCAGTGAGGCTTACGCCTTTTTCATTTCAGGCTTGCGCCTCAGAGCTTTTGAGGCATTGCTTCAATTAAGTTACGCAAAAAAAACTATATTATATTATATTTAATATATCCTATTATATTATTATATTATATTATATTTAATATATCCTATACAATGCCTCAAAAAAAGGTCAAAAGGTATTTTAAATATGATTACTTGATTATGTTATTAATTTATTTGTTTATTTAAATTATATTGGGTTTCAAATTCTTTGATAATAAAAAAAAATTATAGTGAACACAAAAATATCTTGAAGTTTTCAATTAGACAAAATTAGTTGATAATAAATATGATGATTTTTTTTAAGATGATGAAGGCATGATGAGGCCACTATGGATCTTATACTTCATAGAATATTTTAGTTTTAAGTAAATTTTTATTTTAAATCACATTTTCAAACTTATATTTTATATCAAATTTCAAGATTAAGATTTATAGCTTGTCTTTGTGATGATAAGCTAAATCAACAAATTGATGATTTATGTTATATTTATGAAATAATTTAAATGTTATGAATTTTTTTGAGGCTTAGATCTGCCTCGATTTAGCTTAATCTCTTGGCATAAATTATCTCCTGGCCATGGCAAATTGCCGTGATTCCCGATTTTACCTTTTTAAAGTTTGATCCCAACTATGTTGGGCTGTCATAGTTGATCTAGATTTTTAGATCGTTTTTATTGTGTATTGTTGGAGATGTTAAACCTATTCTTCGCAAATAATTTTGAAAACCTAAGTCTACCTCTTTTTTCTTTCCATTCTTCTTAAAATCAATTATATAACTCTTCTAATGAGCTCTTTATTTTTCGTTGCGAATCATTCAAGCCTTTTTTATCTCCTTATTTTCATCAAATTCACTTAATTTTTTTTCTATAAAATTATCATTCCTTATTTACAATTTCATTACCAAATTTTTTCTTATAAAAGTTATTATCAAACCTCTGTGATAGTTTTTTAGCACACAACTTTAAGGCTTTTTTTTTTTCGAATTTTAAACGACCAGCTTTTAACTAGAAATTATTATCCACATCCATTCACATGACTGACATGGTTTAAAAAGGCAAGATGGAGGGATTGAAGAGATTGATTTTCGAAAGTTTGATTTTTTGGTTTATAGTTTTAGACCTATTTTTGGCTGCAGTTTAAGAGTTGAGGAAGGGAGGACTTGTAGTTCAAGTGGGCAAGCGACTAGGTATTGTGACTTATGAGCATTCTTTTTTGAGAATGCAAGTGAGATTGTGAGAGAGTCACTTCAAGCTAGTATTGAGCGGGTGAGTCTTGTTAAGTACTTTTATTTTTTTATGTATATTTTTTTTTTCATTTTCTTTCAATAATTTCTTAATTTTTTACAAAATATATCATATTTATTGTGTTAGTTTTTATATTACTATTATTTTTAATTTTATTTTAATGGATTTTATTTTCAATTCTCATTTTACTTAATGCGAGTCTTTAATTATTTTTAATTTTATTCTTCTTTTGTTTTTAATTTTTTTTATTTTTTTCCCCTAGGTTTTAACATTTTGTTTACAATTTTTATTTTATTTGTCATTCAAGTTTTTTTTTTTAAATTGGTTTTTTTAGCTATTTATAATTCAAGAGAGCAACTTAGAGAAACTTAGAAATTGATAATATTATCCTACCTGTGCTGAAACTTAGAGAAAGAATACATAATCGAGCATTCATACACCAGATAACATACACACAACATTTACATCTAGTAACATACATATCTTTAGTATATGTTGATCTGTCGTCATTTGCTGCGTTTAATGTTAATTTCCTTGTCATAATTTAGTTTATTTTGATCATCTGTGCAGAGTTGCTTCACTCCATGAGAGAAAGGATATGTGCAGTTGTCTTCAGCGTTTGCTATTGTCTTTTGGTGTTGGAAGGCCTCTTTACTTATTTTATTTTGAACACTGAAATGTCTCTTAGACATAATATTGTATGCTTAGCAGTCGAAAGATATCAACTTTTGTAGATTTATTTGAAATCTGGTCAGATTTTTTTTTCGTTGGTTAATTTTTAGAATGCAATGCTGGAATTCTTGTTTTTTTTCTGATTTTATTATCTTTTGCTTAATAGTGGCTGCTTGTCAAATATATTCATTGATTAACACTTTGTCTGATTTTTTATGCACAAAGTTTGATAAAGGTATTTTGGACCTGCAGATAGAGGTCTTTTGGTCGCATGCGGAAAGAATGAAAGATGGTTTTGCAAAAAAAAAAAAAAAAATTTTTTTCTTCGAGTACTATTTTCATTAATCTCTTTTGGAATTTTAGTTTGATTTGTCTTCGTGCGAAATGAAAGTCTGAGAAACTTGCACAATAATGTGCCGCATACCCCGGTTCGTGGTTGACATTTGCGGTATAAGACCTCTTAGGTCGGGGTTCAAATCCTCTGGCATAGTTGACTTAGGGAATGTTTGGGACAGTTGCAGCTTATTGAATAATTTGTTGATAATCTGATTAAAAATAATCTATTGATAAGCTACATGCGGTTGTTATTTCAAATTTTTTATTTTTTTTGAAAAGACAGACCGTAGACAGAAAGTTGCCACAGCACCTAGACAGATGCGGTGTGAAAATGTTATTTTAAGCGTTTTGAAAAAGTATAAGCTGCTAAAACACAATTTACCCAAACAAAACAGCTCAGATGTGTTTTCAAAACACCACCGCATCAAATAAGCTGCCCCAAATAGACCCTTAAGGAGATGGTGCTCGAATTGTTAGGCACATTAAGGGTTGTTGAAGACTAGAATAATAGCCTCTAGCCATTTCTTTAAAAATAATAATAATAAAACTCACAATTAATATTTGTTAAGATATTAGCCCTGGTTATGTTAGGGTCTAAATGCTGTCCGTAAATATAACTAGGTTTTGACAGTTTAATGATTTTTATTATTGCTGATTGATAGGTGGACGTGTCTGTAAGTAGTGGATTAGAAGTATCTAAATTAATAATATGGAAAGGAAGAGGTTTGATTATTTCAACTGTGTCCTTAACCTGCATGACGCCCAATTCTGTGTTTCATATCTCACACATGAACTTCCAATTTTACATTTAGACCATAAAAATTTTCATTATCACATACATTTAAACAATTAAAATACACTTTTATTGTATAAATAAGGTGTCATATATATATATATATATATATATATAAAATCCAAAATTATTTCAAGTACCAACGATAACTCTACCACCATGGTGATAAGTTAAAAGATAATATGGTATTCATAAAATGAGCATTAGATAGGCTTAAGTGTGGTATTAGTGAAAAAAATGTTCCAACTCAGATAGGTGAAAAATATGGAACATGTTTAAGGTGTTCCTTGGTCCATATGTCATGAACCTCACCGTCTCCTTATCCCACGAGCCCGCCCTTGCCGAACCATGGATTTTTTACTTTCAATTATTTATTTATTTTTTAATCATTTCGAGGTCGTTTGGGATATGGAAGAGAACGTGAATGTTTATCCTTATTCCTAAAACTCTATTCTACCTTTATTCTTTTTATTGCACATCAGGTGGAGAGGTTGATTTGCTTATGATCATGCTATAAGTGGAATATAATGCAAGTTTTTTTGATTTGCTTGTGATAATTGTTATGTAGAATCTAATGAAACTATTTTCAGTTTAGTTGCTTATTTCTCATTCACTTCTCCTCGACACAGTTTTGCTTGGTTGGGTGGTTTTATGCTAGAAAATTTTAATGAATTCCTAAAACCTTTGCGCATATATGACATAATGAACTTGGACGGTTTTAAGCTAGACCTTTTTTTTTTTATGCAAAATGTTGATGTATGGCGGCTATTTATCCATAGAATTTTGTGGAATAAGGGCTTCATTCGAATGTAGTTCAAGTTACTTTTGAAATGCTTCAGTTAACTTTTCTCGAAAATTTGTCGAATGAAGGCTCGGTATAGATAAATGAAATTTGTCAAATACTAAAGATATGAAGCCTCAGTTAACTTTAATATGCTCTTACATATGGCTCACAGTACTTCTGTTTGCTTACATTTCCTCAATCTAGAAACATTTGAACGATTGGTACTTGAGTTATCCTGCCATTTAGAGAATTGTGAAAATTTTATTCTGCAACATTTCTTGGCTACTATTTTGTGTTACATAACATTTAAAAATGTGTGTCAACCTGCTAGATACAATATAAAATGGGCAACACGGGACAACACAACCTGTCATGTGGGAAAATGAAGCTAATGATATTTTGTGACTTATGCTTAAAAGTGATTGAATTAAGAAACAGATCTATCAACCATTTAAACAAAGAAGACTTACAAAATATTACAAAAAATTTTCATGAAAAAATTGGAAAATTGTTTGACAAAACTAAACTAAAGAACAAATGGGATTAGTAAAAAAAAAAAAAAAACTGAAAAACTTGAAAAGAGCTCAAGAGAGGCTTAACCGGACTAGGCTAGGATCCAATAAAAAATCGTCATTGATGCATCACTCGAATAGTGGAAGAAGAAATTAGAGGTAAAATGACCTTCAAATCATTGCTGATTATATTTCATGCATATGTACAGTTTGAAAAATATTAATTTCACCTTCTGATTATTTCAGATTACAGGTTGTGCCAAATGCTAAAAAATTTAGGCATGGTGGCATTGAACCCGAACTAGAGGACAAACTTGATCTTATGTTTAGTGGTGTTGTTGCAACGAGCGTTCATCTTTGAACACCACAAGAATCACAATAATCTAACACCATCCCAACTGAATCAACCTAGAGAGCAGCACATGAGCTTAATGAATAAAGTGAATCCAATCATGTTAGGACGTCACTACCGTTAAATTTTAGAGTTGATCATGACATGCACTAATTTATCTTTCAAGTCTAATGCTACAAAACCTTCTTCATACGTTCCTGACGTAATGAAGAATCTAAAGTTAACTTCGGAAGTCTACAAAAATATTTCATTATATCTACACTCCACGAAACTGTTTGAGGATCCCATTAAGATGGAGTTTTCCATATCTATGGCACCTGGGTAGAGGGTTCATTATCTTCGGTACTTCTACGAAAATGATGACAGTTGATTTATATCGTTTCAATTTCTCTTAAGCGTAGTTCAATTATTAATTTTAATTATTCAAAAGGAACATTTGGTGTAGTTAAACTATTGTCCGGAGAACATTTTGTGGGTGCCTATGTTTAACTTATAACAATTTATTAAAACAGTTACTTATTGCACTAATTTTGTTTTGTTTAGTGATGGTGGTATATTTGTTTATTATTTTTATGATGTGTTCTACTATGTTTGTGGTATTATTCATTTAAAAGTTGTTAGTAATCAAATGTTGGTGTGCGGTAATGTTGCTGCTTTTTTCAGTAATGGATTCTAACAACAGAGATCATAGGAAGCATTGCAGATAGATTATTATAACAACTGTCCGTTTGTTGACAAAATAATATGGCTCATATATCTCAGGCACCACATGACCTCACATTACACAGGTGATAAATGGATATGTGAAATGTTAGATGGCCATCCAACGAGATTTCATAACATTTTTTGCATGAGTCAAATGATATTTATAAACCCGTTAAGCGATCTAAGCACAACTTATGTTATGGTCTACAGGGGTCGTCAACAACATCACAGAAGTATTAGCTATAACATTGTATATCCTTTCACATAATCAATCTATTAGAGCAGGTTGTGTGAGATTTCAACACTCATAAAAAACCATAAGTAGATATTTTTCAATTGGCTTGAATGTTTTTGGTACGTTTGTCCTTCAATGTCATCAGACTTGAGCATCTGACTTTCCAAAATATTCTCATTCAAATTTCATGCGATCATCGGTATATGTCATACTTCAAGTTATGTTTAATGTGAATTCTCTTTTACAAACATACAAATACTGAAATATAGAGTAATGTTGATAAGATGCAGGATTGTATTGGTGGCTTTAATGAGGCACATGTTGATGCGAGCTTATCAAAATGCTGATAAGATCGTGTATATTGGGTGGTGCAGATCACCCACACAAAATATAATGATAACATGCGACTTCAATATGTGCTTTACATTCATCAAAGTTGGTAGGTATGGAGGTGCTCACGATAGTCATATATTCAACCCGATCACGTGTTCACAAATTTCCCCATACTCCATAGGATTGGTCGACGATCTCATAACATAGTTCATTAATTTGAGTATAACCTGCCTAAAGTTGGAGAAATCTTGCAGGAATGTATTATTTGGTGGATGTCGGGTACCCATTGCAACGCAGATTTCTTAAACCCTTCCCGAACACAGTATCATTCACCAGCTTTTGAAAGGGCAATTCAAGTGGTTTGGAGAAAGAAAGAGTTGTTTAACAAGCGTCACTCATTATTACGTGGTGTCATTAAGAGAACGTTTAGCATATGGAGAAAAAAATAGATCATTCTGAGAGACATGCAACATATTCCTTTGCAAAATAAGATAAAATAATCATTGTAACAATAACTTTTCATAATTGCATACGACGCCATCATTCACAAACCAATATTGATTTCGAAAATGCTGATGGAAACCGTCATCGTTCAGTGGTTCGATGAATTGAGAAAAACAATAAATGAGCCAATTGATGTAAAAATATAAGCATTTGATGGAAATGATGTGAAAGAGTTGAAATTTCTTATGAAAACTTTACTTTTATTTGATTTTGTGATTATAGCATTGCTTTTGTTGTTGTTGACGTTGCATTTGTTTGGATGATGTTAATATACTGTAAAAGTTCAAACTATAAACTGATAAGTTTTAATTTTATATAAAATCTTATATTTTTTATCGATATTATAAATTATCTGAATTTTCTTATGATTAAGTTAATGTTCATCTCAATTTATCTTATGTTGTTGTGAGTGAAAAAACTTAATAAATTGTGATTAAATTTACCTCACAGACAACACTTTCAAAACTATATTTTCCAAATAGTTTAAACCAAATTGTGTTTCTATACTGAAAACATTATAGTCATTATGTCAACATACAATGCGGGCAAAACTATGTTTTTCAAATATAATAACTGCTTCTATAACACCAGCTCTGAACAATTGATTTCCAACAACAGCTGCTACAACCAACTTTTCTATAGTCAGAGCCGAAACAAATGCAACCTAAAAAAAATCAAGCTTACAATATCATAATTGCATGATCTAGAAAAATTATAAGCAATTAAAATATGTATCAATTTTAAACAAAGTAGATCCAATTTTTTTACAAAATCTCATTACTAAATTAGTTCTCTTGCATAAGATTTAATTCACATTATCCTCACATCTAACAATTTAATGCGACAATCAAATCAAAATATAAGGGAGGTAAAATATATTTTCCTATTAAAAAATCAATATTAGAGAAAACTTGATGAGAATTAATAATTCACCTCTTGTATAAATATCAAATTGATGTATTAGATATCTAAGTATATAAAAATTGTTGCTACAATGTCCAATTTATGAGGTGGCTATTGTTGCACACAAATATATTGCCTCTCATAATTTCAATCATTTATATAGTAAGAGTATGCACGCCCATTAAAAGGAAATGTATTAAAACAACAGGTTTTGTTGAAAAAATCAGATAAAATGATCAACCTAAAACTATATGTTTCATCCTCATCTCTTTTCTTAACACATTTTGTATTTCTCAACTCTTTTTTAATATCACTTTCTATGATTTTTCTGATCAAATTACAAATTGGAGCAACCAAAACATTAATAGCTAATAAGCCAGAAAAGATCCAAAAGTGAGACAAATATAGATGCTTAATGTGGAGGTTGGCTGCATTGAACTTGACACAAGGCATGCGATTCAACAAAGAGCCGCTAAAACAAAATGGATAACTGCATAAGACTTCATACATAATAGATATTGTTTTAGATAAGGAAGATTTACATACATAGCACTTAAATCCTATCTATTTACATATCTAACACCTAAACTTTAATTTTTATATAGACGTGCCACCTTACCTATGCTTTGAAAAGGTGTATTTCACTTTCTAAACGTTAAAAGTGGTATTTTTGATCAAACATGAAAGATTTAGATGGTGAAAATGTAAAAAAGTAAAATTTAGGTGCTAAATATGTGCATACATAGAAATTGGGTGGTATGTATGTAAATGCCCCTATAGATAAATGATCAAATATGTCCTAGACTTGTAAGGAATTCATTTTAGTCATAAGCTTTTTCGAGTGTTGAATTTAGTCCTCCAATTCACCAGATCTGAACCAACTTGACTTAATATTAACTCACTGATCTCATTGGACAAAAGTTAATGGAAGGAAGCTGGTCATTAGGACATTATGAACTTTTTTTGGGTTAGTGTCACTTATAATGAGACTTAGCCTAAAAAGTCCATAAATTCTTTAGGTGGAATGTTTTCCTTCACCTATTTTTGTTCAAAAAACGCCAATGTAAATGTTTGGATTGGTTCAGATTGATTCAAGGGACTAAATCGAACATTTGTAGAAACACTAAGCCAAAGAAGATAAATTTTATGTCTAGAAACCATTTTGATCATTTAGTCAGAAGGTTTGTTATTGAAAGAAAATAATAAACCTTTAATTCAAATATACCAGGGGCCGGCTGCGAAAAAATTAATGGGTCCACCTCCAGAACATGTACATTACGACAACTGTGATCATCATGCCGCCATATGCAATCCACTTGTCGACACGATGACGCCTCTCGATGAGTTTCAATACAGAGTTAGAGAGTCCAACAGTGTTGAGTACATCCAGGGCTTTTCTTTGTGCTCTCTGCATGAGCGAAGACATCATAAATGGACCATGAACAATGATTTCATGTAAAGTCTAAAGAAAAAAAAAGTAAAATAAAAAATATTTTTGTTTTACTACAGGTGTAGTGTACATAATCTTTTATTCAAGGAAGATTTAAATAAATACCACTCAATTCTTATTTATTTACTTATCTAACACCTAAACTTCAGTTTTTACATACATGCCATCTTACCTAGGTTTTTTCCATGTTTTAGAAGTTAACATGGTGGCAATTTTTATGTGATATAAAAGATTGGGTTGGTATAAATGTCAAAAGTAAAGTTTAGGTGTTACATATGTAAATATATAGGAATTTGCCAGCATGCATGTCATTTACCCATTATTCTATGACAGCATTTTAAGAGCTGTTTTGTTGCACTTAACCGCATGTCCTGGATTTTTAGAGAGCATCTAAATGTGATTGCAAGGCTTAGTGCCATCAAGCAATCTGGATTGAAAAATTGATATCATTAGCAAATTTTTTTATACCTATATATAACGTAAAACCAGAATGTTAAACCCAAACACTAAATCTTAAACCCTAAAACCAAAACCTCGAAAACCATAAAACCTAAATCATAACTCTAACCCCCAAGTTATTAACCATACGTAATCCCTAAAACCTAAAACTTAAACCCTTACATAACACTTATTTTGGGGTTGGCGCCATGACATTACACATGAAGCACAGTAGTGCTATGGCACAAAGCTATGTGACATGAAACAAGCTAAACTCTAAAAAACTTAAACCAATGCTTTCATACACTACATCAATAGAAAGATTTACATGCATACCACTTAATTCCTATGTATTTACACGTCAAACAACTAAAATTCAATTTTTACATATAGGTCACCTTATTTATGCATAATTTTTAGAAGTTGAAATAATGATATTTTTACGTGACATGAAAGATTTCGTTGGTATAAACATAAAAAAAAAAAGTTTAGGTGTTAGAAATGTAAATAAATGAGAATTTTGTGCTAGGTATGTAAATTTCCTTAAAGTTTATATTTCATAGAAAATGCAAATCAGAATTGTTGAAAAATTGATTTAGGAAGCATGTATGCTTGCTAAAGAACTATGTTTGCAAAGAAAAAAAAGGTAATTTGCCGATTAAGCATGACAACTATTGAACAAGCAAACTATTTCCATACTAGAGAAGTCACCCAAATTCACAGATAAAACAAAAGCCAATTGAAGTGTAGATATGGCAAAAAAAAAAAAAGATCATAGACATGCTAAAAAAGCCACCCAACCCACAGATACAATAAAAAATTGTAGAAGCTTATAAAAACACCCAACTAGAGTTCAGTCGATATAATAAATTAAGAGTTAAGAAAAAAATTAAAAATAAAACACCCACCAAAAAAAAATAAAAAGAAGCAACTAAATTGAATTTAAGAGATCAACTTTCCATGTCAACAAACACAATTTGCATTTCGATTGTAGCTTGAAAAAAGAAGACTAATGAATTATTCAGTTGCTATTCTTTAAACATAAGTGCATATTTGTACCACGTGTAGAGAAATCACGAGTCATCAAATATACATATACATTCGTCATGCTAGATCATATAAGATTGATATCCACCATCAATAATGAATACGTTTTAATCAATTCGTATGCTGTTATAATATTACTATTTTTGTCTAGAAATTATGTAGAAGATGTATTGAATGTGAATCTTAAAGTGTGTTGAACAAGAGAGGATTTGATACACAGAAAGTTAAATCAGATGCATTAAAAATTGAAAAAATAGTAAGAATTTATAGGATTTCTTACATGTAAAGATTCATCCCAATTAGTTGTTGACTTTATATGATCCTAAGCAATTAGTTTGTTAAGGGTTGCTGTAATAAACCTTTTGTAGTTTAGGCAAACTATTGTCATACACCTTGTTTGAATTCAATATTTCTCAACTTCACGTATGCAATATACTTATAATTATCATAACTGAAATAAATTTTTGGCAAACATTCTCATATAAATTAAGCATATGACTAATAGATAATGCAATATAATATTATAATAAATCACTCGTATAACTCCTAGTGGATACATGATAAATGAAGGAAATCAAATGAATTTTGCTTCATAATTTCACATTAGATGTTTGTGTAACTAGTAGAGAATTGGATTTATCTAAGTAATAAAATAAAATTTTTAATTAACAATTCCTTACCTAATTTTATTGGAACTGAGGGGAAAAATTTGTCAAGTTATCGGTGTTATTTGCACTCCTCTTAATCACAAGAAAGAAAAAATCCATTTCATATCAACAAACCAAAAAATAAAAGGTGAATTTTCATGTGAATTCTTCGCAACCAATTGTGTGGAAGCAAATTTCAATTCAATTCCTTCACTCTTCTTTATAAAAAAAATGAATTTCACGTCACAATTTCACATTACATGTTTGATTCTAGGAAGAGTGACCAAGAATGAGAGTTAGTGAGAGAGGGAAGAGATTGAGAGAAATAAAGCTTGAGAGATAGAGAGTAGGCGAGAGAGAGGAGAGATAAAGAAAATAAATTTTTAATCGACAATTCCCAACCTAATCTTCTTGAAAGTGAGAGAAAAATTATCTAGTCATTGGTTCAATTTGCTCACTCCTTACAAGGAATAAAAACTCAATTTCACATCAACAAACGGATAAAGAAAAAGGTGAAAGATTGGAATCTAGAATGGACACAAATTTCAATTCAATTACTTCACTCTTTTTCTTTGCACATGCCCCCACCTAGGTTCTACTTTGAATCCATAAAACCAAACAAAGTCTATTTATTAGGATCCATAAAGTTTAACTTACAAAACAAATATAGATTTAAGTTTCACATAAATTAGGGTTGATTGAGACTTGTTTATTATATGGACATACAAATTCAAAAAACTTCAATCCAAATGGCTTAAAGATTAATAGTGATGAATTATATATCTTTGGGATACAACAAAATAGATGAAAATTTAACTTTTAGTTTACTTAAAGTAAGTACCATTAATAAATTATTTGATATATTTCACAATTATACTTTCTCTATAATATTCCATTTATAATTTTATAAATTTGGAAAAAAAGAATAAAAATTTGAATTAATATCAATTTGATTTATATATACAAAGATAATTTTATTAAAGAATTCGTCACAAGCATGGATAGAGCTACAATGGGGGCACGGACCCGTGCCGCCACTGGGTCGTCCCATTAAAACAAGTATTATTATTACTATTTGTTGACCTAACTTTTGGCGGATGTGTAGTTTTTCTCCTCTTTAATAGCCTAGGGTCTAGCCGCAGGACTTCCTTGTCAACTACTCCTAGAAAACTAGCAAAGGAGCTCTCCCTGTTAGAAATTTTGAGTTTTTCTTCGCTCAACTTGACGCTCCGTATGGTAATTTTGACCGCTATTACTTAGTAGGTAAGGCTACTGTGAAGGAACTCAAGGAGTCCCTATGAGACTAATGGCCTTAGGATTGACTGTACGCGTTAATATGCCACTATCGCGCTCTTCGTCGCCTTATTTGATTAAGCTCGAGCCGAATTTTTGACGTGATTCCGATCGCGACGTGTTTTTGTTCCAATCGTCGATGAGGTTGCCTAAACGACTCCAGATAACAAAACGGATTGCGCCGACGCGTCCAGAACGTCGATTTTGCCTAAAGGGAACGTTCGTTTCACCGCGACGACACGTCTGGGGAAAAATAAACATTTAAGTGTTAATTATAATAATTAAAAATATTTTATTATTATCATTATTATAATTAATATAATCTTAACCAAATTTCATTATCTTCCCCCTCTGCTAAGTCTCGACCCCGTGGACCTCTGTCCTAGCTTCGGCTCGCTCGGTTCCACCTGGCCCGCTCCTTTGTGCCGTTGGAGTCTCGTTCTAGCGCTCGCCTCACGCACGCTGAACGATACTGCGACTCATCTCTTATCGTATCTCATCCTCTGCGAGGATCTCATCCTTTGCCTCTCGCACGCCCGTATGGGGGCGTCTGCTCCTCTCGATCCATCGAATCGTATACGATCTCCTAATCATTCCTTCTCCTGTTCTCTAGTCTATATGAGGCTTTCGTTGGTGCGTTTTAAGAGGCCGAAAAAAATTTCTAAGGGAGGGAAAACTCTGCCAAATTTCTTTCTCACTTTCTTCTTTAGTTCCTAGTGCTTGGGTTGGCTTCCTCTTGCTGTTGGAGAGGAGGGTAGACGGTGGAGTATTCTCTTTCTGAAATCCCTGTATTACATTCTGCTTTAAGGAGGTACCTTCCTCTCCCCTTTTACGCCTTGCTTCATTTCGGTTTTCTCTCTGCCGAGCCCCTGAGAATGACTCTGTTGAATGGTACAACATGCTAGTACAACATGCTA